CCTTCCGAACTACTCGTAGGCTTGGAATATTAATAAATATTTATATATCCTATATAAAAAATATACTATTATTATAATAGTTTTTTGCATGCAAACTTGCCTGCAATTTGCAAACAAGTTTGCTTACAAAAAAAATTTACAGTTTTAAAAAATAAGTTCAAAAATTTAAGCATAAATGTTGCTAAAACAAATTATTAATATATAAAGTTAATTTTATCTTGAATCTTTATTGGTTCACTTTTTTTTCTTAATTTAGTTCTGGATATTTGAATATTATTCTTTTTATTGAATAGTTTTTTTTTATTAGCTCATAAGATAAATGTTTTTTATATAGGATATATAAATATTTATTAATATTCCAAGCCTACGAGTAGTTCGGAAGGGTATCCGCAGCTTCATGAGCTGGGTAAGAACTCCAAGACCCGAGTCCTAGGGTAAGAATAAGGCTCAGCCCTTATGGGTGCATGCTAGTACCCGGCTCTACCAGGCTCATGCGGAGGCCTAACAAGAACATCCCTATTCAGAAATCACATGCTATTTCACATGAATAGTGAAAATAGTAAGGATTTATTACTTCACGCGATGAATACGGGTTTGGTGCTACAGAAAAGGGGTAAAAAAAGATCTTCGGAAAATACAAATTTTAAAAAGCTATTCTGCAAGATTTTATTAAGACAACTGCTTTTGTGTTTTAAATGAAAAATAATTCTGATCTTAAAAAAATAGGGTTTAAAAAATTCCCCCTTTTCTGTAGCACCAAGCCCATATGATTGGGTATCGAATGACCTGCGATAGTTGGACAGTGTAAGTCATTTAACTTTTTATATTAATTAACATAATTATTACAGTACGTATAAGCGAAGTTTTACTCAATAGATATTGTACGTATCTCCTAAAAATTAATAATTATAATTTTTTCTTATGGGTATAGTAAATTGAAATCACCTGATTTCTGTCCCTCCTCTTACTAGAGCACATTACTTAACTGTTAATTAAATATATTTTTATTACAAGTTTAAAATTATTTTAAAGTTAAAAATATGTGTAAAGTTTTATTAGTTATAATCTCGATAACACACTCATGCCATTTAGGCTAACGATTAAGAGTATCTATACACTGTTAAATAAACTTGATCTAGAATATACCGTACCAGGTTACATAATAAATTATTTAAAAATAAAAATAACTTATAAAAACTATTTAAAAACTATTTGATAATTATTTGCTTATATAAAATTATTGAAAAAACTAGCATATATATATTTTTTAAAAAAAAAGAAAGTAAAGAAAAATTACGATAGAGTCTCAACCTTTTCAATTTTAGCAACCCTAAACATAGCTAACATAGTTCTCGCAGCTTTTGTATGGTTATTTAATCCACCATAAAAAGCTCTTGTAGAATCTTTTCCGTAGTATGTTTTCAATAGTTTAGATCCACCAGGATGTGAAGTTTTAAAGTGTTCAACATTTAATACAAATTGATCGATTAATATCCATTCTTTTCCTTCATCTATTACTTTCTTTTGATATTCTTCATAAGTCATTATAGGAAGAGTTTTTGGATCTGCACCCCAATCGCATCCGTCAAGTTCTCGTTGAGCTTCAAGCAATTTCATGTTTGAACGAGCTTTTCGAATTTCATTATCAGGAACTCTAGCAACGGATGAAACTTGATTTGTGCAGGTATGGAAAAACCAGATAAACCATTTTGAAGGATCATAATCAAATAATCCATATCCATTACGATAATCTTTGGGAAATTCATGATGCTAAAGAGAATAGTCAAATGAATATCGATTGATTAATATTAAATTTTTTAAATGAATTTAAATAAAAATAAAATAAAAATAAAACATACAAAGTTATGATAACCTTCACCATTTGTCATTATGGCGAGTAATAAATTACCGCGAGCAGAGATTTCATTAGAATAAAGTTGATCACCAGCCCAATGAGCGAAACTATTTATACAGAAAGTACTATGCCAAACCAAAACACGACCGAAAACGCCAGCATATAAAAATCCACCAAGAGCGTCACCCCAAGTAGCAGCGATAATAGTTGGAGCAACTAAACCACTTAATAAAGCCAAAGATACGTAATGGTTATGTTGGAATACTACGACAGGATCAGCTTTTAAGTCTGAGTCATCTATGAGCTTCATTCGTGGATAATGTGGTTTTGTAAAAATCCAACCCATATGAGAAAACCAAAAACCTTTAGCGGCAGAGTAAGGATCATGTTCTGTATCAGTGAATCTATTAAGAAATTATTGGAAATTATTATGAAAATGATTAAGAAAATTATTAAGAAATAAAACGAATAAACTTAAAAGAGAATATTAAAAATCAATTTTTTTTTAAATACATACCTGTGATGTAATCTATGTCGAAGGACCCACCATTTGATAGACCCTTGGAAGGCGAGTGAGCCCATAATTCCAAGAGCAATTCTATATGGGAGACGAGCAGTATATGCTCTGTGACTCCATAAACGATGATAACCAACAGTTATACTATACAATAAAAGTTTTATATGTTTATAATAGCGGATGATATAAAAAATTTTTTGAAAAAAAAAAAATACAAACCCAAAAGTTCCTAATTGAAATAGGATCACAGTCAACCATATCGTATTTATACTTGGCACATAAGTAAAGAATGAAATTACAGATATTAGATGCACAAGTATAACAAAAATGCCATTTGCATACCAAGCCTCGTTCTCCTGTGTTCCATCTTTTTTTACAGGCTTAGCCTGCACATTAGAAGATGGATAGGCTTGTGTAGCAGACATTTTTGTTATCGTTGTTATTTTTTAAATACTTAGTTTGGAAGAAGTTTGTAAGAGAATTTGGGTTAAGAATGGTAGAATTTTGATCTTTTTATATCTTGAAAAAACAAAGGATGACAAATTTTCATCAGACCACCTACGTTCAATGAAGTTAATGAAGTTAATAATCGACGTCACATACATATCCGAAATCTCAAACATATAATGAATGAATAACACGAGCCGATGATCGCATATGATGCGTGAGATTTTCTTTGACATACACGCTGACACTAAAATTAAATATGCGTCACTGCCCCAAAACCCCAAATAAATCGATGATTTAATTATTTTTAAAGGATTCTCATTATGTTGCTTTTTAATAAAAGCAATAACTGATAAAGTAAAAAAAAACAAAAAAAAGGAACCAAAATATATTAATTAATTAATAAAAACAATATTTCTTTTCACAAAAGGAGATAAAAACTTAATTCATCGATACCATATTTATATGATCATTTTGAAAACCCTGAGGCGCAACAGATGATTTTCTACTGTCAATTCCTTCTGTGATAAAATTAAATTCTGCATCATTATAATTTGGTGCGCTTTCGAAATAATTTTTTGTGCTTTACATTGAAAACATCAAATTTTTTTTGCAATCAAATTACGAAGTCACAATTCAAATTAAGGATTTACTTCACCATTTCGTGATCATTCCATGTTTGTAACCTAATTCCGTGATTTCTGCGCATTCTGTGGAATCCAGGCTTTTAGCACAACAATACTTTTCCAAATTTAAATAGCTTCTGACAGAGGTTTTTTAATGCTTGTGAACTTAATGTACATCAAATTTTAAGTAAGCAATTTGCATTATCGGAATAAATCCTAACAGGTTATTATATTATGATAAATGCCGTTAATAACAAAATTAGTTAATTTGTCAAATTGCATATTAATTTGTCAATCAAATATGCATATAGTTATTAAAAAGTAATTTTCACATGTTTGGTGCAAAAAATAGCAAATTTCACATCTTTAGCATAAGACAATGTGCAAAAATAGTGACTCCGGATACTGTACGTAATTATTGATCGCCAATTTAAACTTTTTTTTTGATGGCTTGTGAAACTTGCGAACAGTATTTCGCGGTCCAAACCACCCTCCACTATTCAATATTTCTTTGGTGTATATCGAATTAGTATCAAAATACTGTAAAACACTATTGTAAACTAAACCCGGTATTTGGGACTTTGAAGGGCTCCTACGTACAATTGTGTAGATTGTGTAATTACCTGTTACAGTATATTATGAACGCCATGGCGAAAAACACGACCGACACGTGACTTAGCCAGGGTTAGTAGATTATACCTTTTTTTTTTTTTTTTGGTACTGTACAGTTTCATATGTAAAAATTATGAGTACAATATCGGCACAGCATCGATTGATGTGAGTACCCCTGGACACTATTTCTAACCGATTAGTGTAAAAGCTATTCTAAAATTATAAAAAAATTTTAATTGAATCAAGAAATTTGCATTGGCATTACATATCGATATTAGCAGTAGTCGAATTGAATTTTCCTCCCAGAATTATAAAATGTAGTTGCAAATGTAAAGGCAAAAGTGCTTTACATAGTAAATGCTTTTATGAAATTTGTGTTTTACTATAAGCGTTTTTCCTTAGTAAATTTTCATGTGCTAGTAAGGTCTTATTATATATTATTTTTTTAATATCTTAAGAACTTGGTATTTGATCATATTTTGGAATTTGGTTTTAGTAAAATTGCCGATTAATTATAACTTACAATATTATTGATCTAATTATTTTAAATCAATATTAGGCAAAATTAAATGCTTAAAGTTGAATTGGAATTTCTTTGTGACTTATGAAGTACAACATTTACCTTACAATCAGTGCTGTCAAATGTCTTGTCAATTAGTAATTGTCGCATCCAATTATTTATTACATCGCGTAATAAATTATATAATAAAATAACAACAATTACTAATATGATCCCGAACAGTAAAGATTTTCCTAATAAGAGAAAAGGGGTTAAAAGAATATAACTATTTCGTGATCTAACGATCGAAATTGGATGATTTTGGTATCATTCGATTCGTTTCGACGAGATGATTCGAATGGTACCAAAATCATTCAATTCTTATTTTTAGATCACTAATATAATCTAGAAGAGTCATGGGGTCCTATGTAGGGGTATGTATACATTATCCGGTATCCTACTATTCAAATAACTAAATTTATTTGGCAAACCCAATCGTCGTAGGATACTGAATAATACCGTTATTGAATGTGAAGCACTAATAACTTTCGTATCTGGCAGTGAAACTTAATATGCCGGACCCCTTCGGGGCCCAGAGTAGGCATATTAAGTTAAACAGCCATATACTCGAATTATTTGTTCTTTATAATGACTAACACGTGATCCTTCTGATCACATGTTAATCATTATGAAAAAATAATTCGATATTAGTATTAAACTATAGTACTACTGTACATAAGTAATAAAAGTTTTATAAAAAAACTATTATAAAATTATAATTTTTTATAATTTTAAACAATAATATCTTAATAAATACATACTGCATGATTTTTGAACCACGCCATATTTTATATTCCACGTTTGAGCGTTTGGCTGTTTTCATTCTAACTGGGACAGCTAATTAAAATTTTGACCGAATAAATACTTGCCGATTTGATAAGTTTTTGATTCGGCAGTGATAAACTTTTGATTTTGGGCATGATCAGTAATATAAAATGGTATATCGATATACTGTATATTTTTTATAATAATAAACCTTTGGATAATTATATAAATTCCATGTTTTCTAGTGATGTTGACACGGATATGTTCATGATTATATAGGATATCTTTTCTATCATTTCTAGAAATGATCATCCGTGGAGATATCAATAAATATTAAACGGGATGACATTACAGAAATTTCTAGATCAGTGTTTTTTCGTGTGTAAAAAAAAAACTTTATGCGAAGAAAAGAAAATGTCAGTGAAAAAATCACAGGACGTTAGGCTCCAGGGAATATATCAGATATTTAATGGTATTGCCGTAGACACAGCATAAAAATCATGAATCATGATTTTTCATGATATCTACAACAAATCATTAAATATCTATTACATATCGGAAATATATCGTTATGTATCAATTACAATTTATTGAATCAGCAATTTATTTGGTCAAATTTTTAATTAGCTGTCCCAGTTTGAATGAAAACAAGCTGTAAGGAAATACAAAACTAATTTTTTGTTTCATCCGGCCGGGTTATGAAAACCATAAATTTAATTTTGTATAGCCTAAGATATGAATTATGATAATTTATTAATATCAGTCCGTAACCCTAATTTCCGTGCCAATTCCGCAATGTACTCTATTTTTCCGTGACTATTCTACAATAACTATTCCTGAAATGCAGAAAATCATCGTCCCTGAACTGATTTACCGGTTAAATCTTCTCAAATTCTAAAGTTCTCAAAAAAAATTTTATATAAATAAAGCCTAATCAAATTATCATAATGTTTTTACAAATTATGAGATTACTGTTTTTTTAAAAAAATGTTCTCAATTAAGAGGTGATGTTCTCATGAGAACATGAGAACATAAGATTTTCAACACTCGGTATAATTTTGCAATTCAAAAAATGTGTGATTTTCACGTTACGACGATTTGCTGCGTTTCACAGAATGTCGCAGAATTACGGAATTCAGGTGTAAAAGTGTCATAATTCCACACTCATAGAAAAATATTCATATGATTGGCTAATTTTTGACCAATCAAATGAATCAAAACCGAACTCGGTTTCTGTAACAATTAACTTCTATCATAAAAAAGATAAAATAATTTACTACTGTAAAATTCTTTATGGAGCCAAGCAGAATCTTGAACTAATTATAACTAGATAAGCTAAAGCCACTAATAAAAGTACAAAATTTATCTTAACGCGTTGCTTTGTTTAGAAGATGTAAAAACAAGATTTTTAGCTATTCTTTCTTGCGCAAATCTTTTACAGACCCTGAGCACTACATACTAAATTGCAGAATGAGTCAAGAAATCTAGAAACTGGCTTACTCCTTTCTTGACTCAGGACAAGCAAAGCTTTCTTCTAAGATTATATAAAAGGTTTTTAGTATTTCAAATATATATAATAAGAAGGGATCACAAGTAATACTATAGCTACATATAAGCATAATATATAAGATATAGTATTAATATATGAGAATCAAATAGAAGGAGAACTAATAAACTTTAACAAGTATTTTGAGTATAATTAAATATTATCTAAACAAAAAGGTTAAATCTTTATAGTTTAGCTTAATAATTTTTTATCTAAAAAATATTTATATATATATATAAAGTGAAGTTAATAGAAAAAAGACAAATCATTTTGATCTTTTTTTGCTAATCACTAAAACCAATACTAAAGCAAAAATTTTTTTACAAAACAAGTACTAAACTTAAGAAAATCCAATAAAATATTAGTTTTAAAGAAATATGATATGTATAGTCTTATAAGACCTTTTAGACAATAAGAGACAAAAAGCTAAAGTAGATAATAGTTTTAATATTTTAGTCAAAAGTTTGTCTTGTAAAGTTTTAAAGTTAAAAAGAAAAAATTTGATGAAGTTTGAAGTTTGAAGATAAAAAAAAAACATATTATAATATTTGTACTGAAACAAATATTCTCAAACTCTTATTTAATTTTTTTTTATATTCACCTTTTTCAGTCTTTTGGATTTTTATTTTTTCTTATTTGTAAGAATTTAGCCTACTTCTGAAAAAGAATTAACAATATCATATTCAAATTAGTAAATGACTATATGTTTACAAATAATTTAATAATAAACAATAATATATGTAATAAGACAAATATAGTCAAAAGCAAATTTAGATACCTTCTGGTATCAGAATAGAAGTTATTAATTTAGAAATATAAAATACTTTGTAGTATTAGTATTTTATATAATTTTTACAAAAGTTTCAAGCT